ACATCGGGCTCCCTGCATGGAGCCTGCTTCTCCCTCTGCCTGTGTCTCTGCCTCTCTCTCTCTGTGTGTGTGTTTCTCATGAATAAATAAAATCTTAAAAAAAGAAAAAAAAGCAGGCTCAGAAAAGTCCTCCCAGTGTGTGTATGTATGTAGAGGTGACATTTTGAGCAGAAACTTGAAATGAGAGAAGAAGCCAAGCTAAGACTTAAGAGCATTTTCTCTCAACTCACAAGGGCCTGAGGCAAGAACAGCAAGGTCACAGTGCCAGGAGTTGAGTGAGGGAGATAGTAGGAGACAAGAAGTCAAATTGATAAAGCCAACGATATAAACAGAGGTCAGATATTCCTGGGCCATAACAAGGAATTGAGATTTTATTCTGAATGTGGTAGGAAACCAGTGGAAGGTTGAAGATACAGGAGAAAGGATGATGTTGAGAGATTCCCTTCAAAGGGATGGGATAGGATTTGGAGCCAACTGTAAAAAGGCTTATTCTTATTTCAATACTGCTGCATGATTCCCTCCAGCCACCAGCCTAATCGTCTCCTCCCCTTTATTTTTTTTTCTTTCAAATTTAAGTAATCTCTTCACTCAACGTGGGACTTGAATTTACAAGAGCTGCATCTTCTATTGACTGAGCCAGCCAGGCACCCCTGTTTTTTGGTTTGTTTTTTGTTTTTGTTTTTTTTTTAAGTTTAAGTAATCTGGCAGCCCCGGTGGCTTAGCAGTGGCTCAGCAGTTTAACACCGCCTTCAGCCCAGGGTGTGATCCTGGAGACCCGGAATTGAGTCCCACATCAGGCTCCCTCCACGGAGCCTGCTTCTCCCTCTGCCTGTGTCTCTGCCTCTCTCTGTGTCTCTCATGAATAAATAAAATCTTAAAAAAATAAAATAGTTTAATCTCTGCACTCAACGTGGGACTCAAATTCATGATCTCCCAAATCAAGAGCCACCACCTTCTTCAACTGAGCCACCCAGGCACTCTTTTCTCCTTGCTTTTAAAATCATACTTCTTAATTTTTTTTTTATTTATGATAGTCACACAGAGAGAGAGGCAGAGACACAGGCAGAGGGAGAAGCAGGCTCCATGCACCGGGAGCCCGACGTGGGATTCGATCCCGGGTCTCCAGGATCGCGCCCTGGGTCAAAGGCAGGCGCCAAACCGCTGCACCACCCAGGGATCCCTAAAGTCATACTTCTTGAAAGAATTGCTTACATATGCTGTATTTTTTCCTTTTTTTTAAAGATTTTATTTACTCATGAGAGACAGAGACACAGGCAGAGGGAGAAGCAGGCTCCACGCAGGGAGCCCAATGTGGGACTCAATACCGGGTCTCCAGGATCACACCCTGGTGGAAGGCGGTGCTAAACCGCTGAGCCACCCGGGCTGCCCCACATATACTGTATCTTTTCTAAAAAACTTCCCTTTCTGGGGGTACCTGGTGGCTCAGTCAGGTAAGGAAGCATCTGCCTTCGGCACAGGTCATGATCTCAGGGTCCTGGGATCCAGCCCCGCATCCAGCTCTCCGCTCAGTGGCGTTTGGTTCTCCCTTTCTGACACCACCACTCTTGCGCTATCATAAATCTTTTAAAAAGATAAAACTTCCCATTCGATTTTAAGTTTTTGCTCAGTCCCCTTAAGTTTTGCCACTCCCCTTGCCAATATTACCAAAGACTTTTGAGTTACTAAATCCAAGAATCACTTTTTAGTCCTCATTTTAACTAGCCTTCACAGTAGCATTAGACCATGACCTCATTGTGTGCTGGCTTTCTTCCTGTCACTCAATTCCTTTGACAGTTTTCCTCTACCTGGCCTTAAATGTTCACATTCCTCAAGCCTTGGACCTAGAACAGAAGTTCTGGTCCACAACACCCTATGCTGATTGGGCCCATGTGTCAAGAATACTTGTTAAGTTGTTAAATGTTTGGAAAAAATCAAAAGCATAACATTTCAAGAGAGGTGAATCCCATTATCGCAAGTTTTTTTTTCCCTCCAGGATCGCAAGTTTTATTTGAACACAGCCACACATATTTACTATTGCCCAGGGATGCTCCCACGCTGCAGCAGCAAAGCTGAGTGGTCGCGACGGGCTCCATATCCCGCAAAGCCTATTTACTTGGTATGTTTTACAAGAAAAGTTTGCTTTATGCTCTCTCGCGGGGTTCCATTCATCCGGGTGACCTTAATCATCACCGTTTGTACACTACCGATTCCCAAAGTAGCATCTCCTGTGCAAGACCTTCTATAAGGAAGCCAAACATGCACGCCCAGCGGCCTGTCATTCGAAGGGATCGAGTGAGGAATCGGGGATCCTTGACACACCTCCCTTTCCCTAACCGCCCCCCCACCATCTATCATCAAAGCCTTCAAAACAAAGTCCAAGTCCAGCACTCGTTTCCACCCTTACTGCCTCCCACCCTGGCCCACAGCAGCCGCGCCCGGCTCCGAAATGAGTCTTTTCAAAATGTAAACAGAGGGCAGCCCGGGCGGCTCAGGGGTTGAACGTCTGCCTTTGGCCCAGGGCGATCCTGGGGTCCCGGATCGAGTCCCGCGTCGGGATCCCTGCGTAGAGCCTGTTTCTCCCTCTGCCTGTGTCTCTGCCTCTCTCTCTCTCTCTGTGTCTCTCATGAATAAATAATAAAAAATAATAAATAAAAAATAAAGGGGCAACCCTGGTGGCGCAGCGGTTTAGCGCCGCCTGCAGCCTGGGGCCTGATCCTGGAGTCCAAGGATCGAGTCCCACGTCAGGCTCCCTGCATGGAGCCTGCTTCGCCCTCTGCCTGTGTCTCTGCCTCTCTCTCTCTCTCTCTCTCTCTCTCTCTCTCTCTCTCTGTGTCTCTCATGAATAAATAAATAAAATATTTTAAAAATAAATAAATAAATAAATAAATAAAATCTTCTTAAAAATGCAAATCGAGCAGGTCGCCCCGCGCTGGCCTCGGGCGCAGCCGCTCGCCGACCCCTACGGAGCTCCCACGCCCCCCTCGCGGTAGCAGAAGCGACGTTGCGCTCCGACTCCGGGTCCCGACCACGGCGCCCGGAAATTACGTAAGGGGGCGGGGCAGCGTTTTACAAACCTGCCCGTGAGGCTTTGCGTTTCCTCTTTCGCAGCCAGCTCCGAGAGCGATGGGTGAGTGTGACTGTGTCGGGGCCGGGGAAGGGGGTGAAGCTCCATCCGGCGCCATCCTGCTTCGCAGCCGCGTCGGGAGGGCGGGCGCCACGGCCCCCGGCACCGAGCAGCCACGCGGAGGCTGCTGTGCTCGGTTCTGGCCGCCGGGGCCCGCGCCGGGGGCTTGCGGGGCTTTGGTGCCGCGGGCGCCGCCAACATGGCTGCCGCGGGAAGGAGCCCGGGCTGGGCCGCGCGTGGATGATGACACCTTGGAAATGCGGAAAACTCCCGAGTGCGCAGTGGGGGAGCCAACCTTGGAGAGCTGAGCGTGCGGCGCGCCCGGTGCGGGGGTCTCGGGCTCGCGGGGCGCCGGCTAAAGCTCCCGCCTCCTGCTCCCACACGCAGGCATCTCTCGGGACAACTGGCACAAGCGCCGCAAGACCGGGGGCAAGAGAAAGCCCTACCACAAGAAGCGGAAGTATGAGCTGGGACGCCCCGCGGCCAACACTAAGGTGTGTGCGGGGCCCTCGCCTCCCGCCCGCTCCCCCGTCTCCAGCGTGGTCTGGCCTCCGTGCGGTGCTTGAGGCTTCCCGGGGCTCGTGATTCGTTTGGGGGGTCGGGCGGCCTCCTCACCTTGACGTGTGGTTAAGACGCAAGAGGTTGCGCGGAGACCCATGCTGGTATTAGGACTTAAAGGGCGCCTGGAGGGCGTGGGCCATTTGAGGGATAGTCAGAAACCCGGTATTTTTCTGTTGCATAGAGACTTCATTTTCGGGGTTTGGAAGCAGGGTTTTCCTCTTGGAGGTAACCGGAGTGATGAGAAAGAATCCTTAGGTGTGGTTGGGGCCGTGTTGGCCACCTGTGTGCCACATGCCAGTGCTAGGACTTGTCATAGTTACACTGACTGTGTTGCCTCCACGGGGTCTAGGGTTCCCCTGCCTCTTCTTGTCTTAATCTCCTGGATAACCTAGTTCCTGTCTGTGTTTTTCCAGATTGGCCCCCGCCGCATACACACAGTACGAGTCCGGGGAGGCAATAAGAAGTACCGAGCCTTGAGGCTAGACGTGGGGAACTTCTCATGGGGCTCGGAGTGTGAGTGGGGCCCTCCAGGAGTGGGTGGGAACCCAACGCCTAAAACTTCTAAGATTCGGTCATTGCTTTTAACAGGAGGTTCATGGCTTCCACCAAGATACTGAAGTTTGTTTGAAAGCTCTTAATGTTGTGGTAGCTGGAGAATTCTCTCCTTCCTGGTTTTTTTTTTTTTTTTTTTTTTTTTTAATGATAGTCACACAGGCGCAGAGACACAGGCAGAGGGAGAAGCAGGCTCCATGCACCGGGAGCCCGACGTGGGATTCAATCCCGGGTCTCCAGGATCGTGCCCTGGGCCAAAGGCACGCGCCAAACCGCTGCGCCACCCAGGGATCCCCCTGTTTTGTCTCTTAACTCCTGTAGCCTCAGGGATTGGGACTGAACCTAGAGACACTGTGTGGTTCCCAGTCCTCTCTGGAAAGGTGGCTTTGTGGAAGATGAGCTAACACCCCGTGGTAGGGTAACGGCTTATTCCCTTGCTTCTCCTTAGGCACTTTGGGGGGAGAGGTGACAAGGCCAGTTGGCTTCTGGGACTTGATTCTAAATTTCCTCCATGAGCAGGTTGTACACGCAAAACCAGGATTATCGATGTTGTCTATAATGCATCCAACAATGAACTGGTACGCACCAAGACCCTGGTGAAGAACTGTATCGTGCTCATTGACAGCACACCGTACCGACAGTGGTACGAGTCCCACTATGCACTGCCCCTGGGACGCAAGAAGGGGGCCAAGCTGGTGCGTGTTCTCGGGGAGCCACCTTCCCTGTGGGGGTGGGGGAAGGAAGGTCAGCCTCATTCCAGCCTTCTTATGATGAAAACTGTCCAGTTCTGCTACTGAAAGGAAAGAGATGAAAGCCTTTCATCTGAGGAAGGCAGCAGGGATTGGGATGTAAAGGTTATTGAGGATATTTTCCCTGAGCCAGGGCCTCGGGAACCCCAACTAACCTACCTTACCTCCTTTATTCAGACGCCTGAGGAGGAAGAGATTTTAAATAAAAAACGATCAAAGAAAATCCAGAAGAAGTATGATGAAAGGAAAAAGAATGCCAAAATCAGCAGTCTTCTGGAGGAGCAGTTCCAACAGGGCAAGCTTCTTGGTGAGATGGCTCTTGCAGTGGGGGGAGGAATCACAGTACTGTCTGCATTTCGTTCTTGCTTCTTGTTCTTTCAACTGCCAGCTGTGTGGTAGAGGCTTGCTAGGAGAGTTGAATGATAGCATATAAGTACGACTCAACAGGTCATCCCATTGGCATGAAGCTGAAATGGGAAATAGTGGGCAGGAGAAGTCTGGGCTGAGGGGGCCGTCTCGGTGATGAAAACTTTGTCCAGTTCTGCTACTGACTTTAAAGTGATGATAAAGTATATCTGAGGAGACACTGGGCTTCAAGCCTGCCCCCGGGAGAACTGAACAAACATGGACTTTTAAGGAGACAGCTGGTTTGGGTAAGGCCCCATTGTCCTTTTGCTAATGAATGCATACGTTCCTTGCAGCATGCATCGCTTCGAGACCAGGCCAGTGCGGCCGGGCAGATGGCTATGTGCTAGAGGGCAAGGAGCTGGAGTTCTATCTGAGGAAAATCAAAGCCCGGAAAGGCAAATAAATCTTCTGTCTTCGGTCATGTAATAAAGGTGTTTATTGTTCTGTCCTGTGTTCACGTATGAATATCCAATTGCTCTGCATGCTTTCCCTGTAGGTCAGTCCTAGATGTGGGCTGTGCTTTTATAAAGCTGGGAACATTTCTCACCACAGAAGTTAGTGTTCAGTGGGAGCAGGGATGTGACGTTCAGGCCAAGCAGAGGCTGTATGAAGGACATAGCCCAGCACTGGGTCCCCATATTACTGAGGTTGTGACTGGAACCTGAAGCCATGCTGCCTCTAAAAACGCTTTCAGGGGTGCCTGGGTGGCTCAATTGGTTAAGCATCTGCCTTCGACTCAGGTCATTATCCCAGGATCCTGGGATCCAGTCCCAAATTAGTCTCCCTGCTCAAGTGGGGAGTCCACCTGTTCTCTCTCAAGTGAATGAATAAAATCTTTTAAAAAAGTAAAAACTTCGCTCTTAGAGATCCTGTACCCTTTTCCTATGTGAACCTTTGTTTTCAGGTTTTAGCTTGATGTTTCTAGCGTCAAGTTCATGATGGCCTAGATAATCTTGGAAGTTGTGTTCCTTTTCTGCATTGAGAGCAAGTTGTACATGTTGAAGACTGTCCTGTCAGCTTTTGAATGTCTTTCTAAAGTAAATTTTCTCTTGAACCCTAATCCCTTCCACCCTCACTCTACTCAAGTGTGTAAGATAACCAGTGATTTTTGCATTGCTAAATCCTTAAGGGTCTACTGTGTCTGCAGCTTAGCTACATTGTCTGCTGTCAGTTTTTTGTTGTTTTTTTTTAAGATTATTTTTCATGAGAGACAGGCAGAAGGAGAAGCAGGCTCCTGTGGGGAACCCACCTAAGATCCAGTCCCAGGACCTGGGATCCTGACCTGAGCCAAAGGCAGATTCTTAACCACTGAGCCACCCAGGTGTCCTGTGTGCTACAGTTTTCTGACTAACCCAAACCTATTTAATACCTGCACTTGGGTATCATTATTGAACTCTCAAAAGTGAGCATGTTAAAAACGTGACCGTGACTTTTCCTCAGCTTTCCCTTTTTAAATAGGTTCTCGGTTATTTGATTATAGCAAGTTATTGCCTTTATATAGCCGCTTAAATCAAAATCTTGGTCATTTTGACTTTAGTACATCTAATGTCACCAAATCTCATTGGTTCAACCTTTAATACCACCTCTACTTCGTGAGAGACCCAGGCAGAGGGAGGAGTAGGCTCCACGCAGGGACCCGGATGCAGAACTCCATCCCAGGTCTCCAGGATCAAGCTGTGGACTGAAGGCGGTGCTAAACCTCTGAGCCACCAGGGCTGCCCCTGGTTGGTTTTTTTTTTTTTTATTCATGAGAGGGAGGCAGAGACATAGAGGGAGAAGCAGCATCCCTACAGGGAGCCCAATGCAGGACTTGACCCCAGAACTCGGGGATCACAACCTGAGCCCAAACCAGACCCTCAACCACTGAGCCACCGAGGCGTTCCTGATCAATAGGTTTTTGATGGGACAGCGTCCCATCTCCGAAGTCTTTCCAAATTACAGAACTCAATGTGACCTGGTCCCTTTTTAATAGTGCTGATCATCCTGGCCTTACTGAGGTGCTAGTCCTTCTGTTGAGAACATTTTCCTTCACATACCATGTGGCATACATGAGGTCTTAGACCCTAGTGAATTTTACTCTGATAATTCTAAGTTACACCCCCTTCTGTGCTGTTAACTTGATCATAAGTTTTACTCCTTTTGTCTTTTTTGTCCTATTAGAAAGGAATTCCAGGAGATGAGTGTTTCCTACTGTGTCTAGTACTTAGAAGTGCATGGCAATAAACCAAGCACTCAGATCTGCTGAGTTAATTTTAAAAACTTAAGATTTTATTCAGGTTAAAGTTGAAAATACAAGCATAACTTAAGAGCCGAAAATAGTGAAAATTCCAATTGGTTCATTTAGCTTGGCTAAATTATAGACTTGCGTGAATAGACAATAAAGATGGAGATGACCCTCACCCCACCCCCTTTTGAGCACAAAAACTTCAGGATACAAAAAAGGCAACCCAACCTAAAACCTTACTATTGGCTCTGGGAGCCCTGTGCCCTCACCTCTCTTCCATCTAGTGGTCATATCTTTATTACCATAATTTTAGCTATTTACTGAGGTATGGGTCAAGAATAACAGCCATACAAGATGCTGCTTTTTATTTCCTAATTTGAGCTGTACGAATCTGCCTCCCCTTCACTTCTACCTCTATAAATAGAACCAGTGTGTTTGGGATCCCTGGGTGGCGCAGCGGTTTGGCGCCTGCCTTTGGCCCAGGGCACGATCCTGGAGACCCGGGATCGAGTCCCACGTCAGGCTCCCGGTGCATGGAGCCTGCTTCTCCCTCTGCCTGTGTCTCTGCCTCTCTCTCTGTATGACTATCGTAAATAAATAAAAAAAAATTAAAAAAAAAAAGAACCAGTGTGTTTAGTCTTGGATCCATCCACACCATTCCTGAAGCCATCAGCTGACCATTCTTGCCCCAAACCAAGGCTAACTTCTATCAACCCCGTGAAAAATGTCAAATGTCTTCCACATAAAGGGCTGTCTTGGGTGCTATTGTCTCTAAAGACTTGGAGACCTACGCTTAGGCCTCCTGTAACCCATGGTCATCCAGCAAGAAAGTAGCAAAGCTAGTGTTATCCTCTAGCCAGTCTCGACGATGTTAGAGGCTGTAGCTGTACTCAACCTCCACTACACCCTTGTTTCTTCCTTCAGAGTTCTGTCATTTGTCATCCTTTGACCTTGAGATTCAGTTTTGGCATTCAATTTTTTTTTAAGATTTAGTTTATTCATGAGACACAAAGAGAGGCAGAGGGAGAAGCAGGCTTGTTGTGGGGAGCCAAATAATGGGATTGGATCCCAGGACCCCAGGATCGTGAACTGAGCCAAAGGCAGATGCTCCACTGCTGAACCATCCAGGCGCCCCTCACCAATTCTTGAGTGGAAGACTTCTAGAGCTGGAGCTCAGTTCAGGCAACTCCAACCTAGTGCTCTGTGAGGCTGCTTTCCTTCAGCACTGTAGGCCCAACAGAGTTGGACCCCCCGGCTTTCACCCCCGAGATCATCCTTTCTCCTGTTGGGCTGGTGGGAGCAGAGAAGGGTGTGGCACTCTGCACTCCAAATTCCCACGGCTCAGGCTGGCTGGTGTACAACAACTGCCTTCACGTCTCAGTTGGATCAGCCTCCAGGACAGATTCCCAAGCCCTTACTATATTTTCTTTATCCCACTTCACAGCATGCCAACTTGGTCTAAAACAATTGTAATTGCACAAGTAATGATTATTTTCTAATTGTAAACAAAAGTTGAATATTACAGGTAAAGCAAAAGTCCCCCAGCACACGGTGATTCCCTCTTCAGAGTAAGATAATCAGGATAGGGTGTATACTAACTTTATTTATTTAATTTTTTATTTTTAATTATTTATTTATTTATTTAGTTATTTAGTTATGATAGACATAGAGAAAGAGAGACAGGCAGAGACACAGGAGGAGGGAGAAGCAGGCTCCATGCCGGTACCCGATGTGGGACTCGATCCCAGGACTCCAGGATCGCGCCCTGGGCCAAAGGCAGGCACTAAACCGCTGAGCCACCCAGGGATTCCCACCTTTTTTTTTTTTTTAAGATTTTATTCATTCATAGAGACGGAGAGAGGGGCAGAGACACAGGCAGAAGGAGAAGCCCGACGTGGGACTCGATCCCGAGTCTCCAGGATCACACCCCGGGCTGCAGGCGGCACCAAACTGCTGCGCCACCAGGGCTGCCCCTAACTTTTATATAGGACTCAAAGTGTGATGCCTGGACCAGCAGCAGCACCATCACCTGGGAACTTCCTCCTTCCCTCCCAGATCTAATGAATCAGAGACACTGAGTGGACCCTGTGAACAGGCCCTTCAGTGCTGCTGATGCTCCCTCAGGTCTGAGAACAGGCCCAGCTCCCTAGTGCCCAGGAAATTAACTGCATCTGGATTCTGGCCCACGTGTCCTAGCATCAGTTTCCTACCTTCTCCCGCCAAAACGGACAGATTCCCAGCCCTGGTGCTGGCCCCGCCCTCTTCCTCTTTCAAAGTCTGTCCCTAAATTCTCGGGCTCGGGACGCACAGTTAAGTGCTCTGACTGCGCTGGAGGGCAGCGGTGGCCGGGAGGGGAGGGGCGGCAGGCAGGACGGCCTCCGCTCAGGGCTCCCTGGCCGCCTCCTCTGACCCCACCGACGCCTCCTCAATGCGGTCCGCAGCCTCGAGGTCGCCGCTCTCCTCCGCTCGGAAGCGCAGCAGATGAGGGGTCCGGGGGGCTCCTCGCGCGCGGCCGAAGGTCCTGAGGCTGATGGCGGGGGAGGGTGCCCCTGCGGCCAGCAAGCGGCCGAGCAAAGGGGTCTGCGCGGCGGGCAGCGGCCGAGCGGACCCCGGGGACGCCTCCACCTGCATGCTCTGCTCGGGGTCGTCGCTCACGCTGCAGGGGGGAGGGCGGGCTGAGCCAACCTGGGCGGGGCCACCCCGGGGCTGGCTCTCCCGAGGGGGCAAGGAGCTGGGGCGACCGGGTCACTGGCGCTCCAGAGGGGTGGTGAGGACCTGGGGCCCGATTGCCGGGTCAACTCCTGTCTCCACCCGCGCGGGCCACTCACCGAAGGTTGAAGGTGGAGCCCAGGAAGGAAGGCCGCAGAGCCTCGGCCGCCGTGGCCACCGTGTAGGGCGGCTGCGCAGAGTCATCGTCCCAGTACAGGTCCTTCTCAGCGGGAGGCAGGTTCTGATACATGTCATCCACGGATAACAGAGACACCTGGGGCAGGCAGCAAGTCACAAGGATCCCCCTGCCCTCTCCACACCCAGGTGGAGAGCGCAAGGAGCTGCCCCCAGGCCCCTGCACACCTGCAGGTTGCGGTCTATGAGCTTGTTGGTCTCAAAATCGTCATCATCCTCACCAAAGGGGTTGATAATCTGTTCAGCCACCTGCAGGTTGTAAGGCAGTGTTTCCTGGGCTTGGAGCCCCATTCTCTATCCCCAAAGCTGAGGTGGGCCCTGGGCCCACATCTCTACAGAACAAGCTGGTATGACCACCCTATGTGCCCACCTTGAGCCAGCCAGCATAGAAGAAGAACTGCAGCAGAGTGGTGAGAGGCACATACATGTCCAGGTCCCCCAGGGTGGATGCTGCCTCCTGGCCTGGCTCTAAAGGCTCCTGAGGTTTGGCTGGCCCTGCCTCTGGCTCCACAAACTGGCGGCCAACCAGGGAGAGGCCAAAGAAGGAGTATACGGCTATGGTCACTACCTGGAGGAGGAAGCCCAACTGAGTAAAAGCGAGAAAAGCCTGCCCCAACCCTGGGGCCAGGGAGGGAATCTGATAAGGAAGTAAAACGTGTAGCAAGGTGTGGCAGCATCAGAGGGGATGGGGTCGTTTCAGTGGGGGCCAAGGGATGCTTTGAGGATGAGCCCGTGGTTGTTCAGTGTCTCGCTGGACTGAACTGCCACAGGGCAGGTACCATCTCTAATCCTCAGTGTCACACACAGCACAGGACATGCACTAGGCTCTGGGATGCGGGAGGTGAGAGGCAGTTACTTGGGTGTAGACGAGAGGGATGCTGATCCAGTCGTAGTGGAACAGCATGCTGCACTTAGCCCGGTACTTGTTCAGCTCCTGGTGGAAAAGCAGGAAGAGGATGTCAGTGGAGGTGCAGAAGGAGGAATGGGGAAGAACAGGGGAGCCCAGAATGAACTAGGCCTAGAGGCCCATTTTACTATCAGAGGTCTTATGCAAGGGTGCCCGTGATGGGAAGCAGTTTAACAAAGTAGGTGCAAGCACAGACTGTGGAACCAGCATGTCTCAGTTGGTTACCTCCACTAACTAGCCGTATGACTTGGGCAAGTTTCTTTTCCACTCTGTGCCTGTTTGCTCACCTGTGAAAGAGGGATGGTAATAACGTCCCAAGGGCTGTGGTGAGGGCTAAATGAGTTAATACACGCACAGTGCTTCCAACAGTGCAAGAATGGTACCATCTAACTACTAATTACTAAAATTATTATTCCAGTTTGCAAAGCTACAGGGGACAGACAGGCCTGGTCCCGAGCAGACTCACTTCCAGGAGCAGACAGAGAGCAATGTCGTCACGGATTCGCCCATCCCTCCGGGCCTGGGCCGCCAGGTTAGTAAACCAGACGCAGGGGATCCAGTACTTATTGAAATCGGATTTTAGGCTCTCAAACTTTTTCCTCTCTTCCTGGGACATGAAACCTGAGGAGATAAAGTGAGTGCGGCGCAGACACCTCTCCTGCCCCCCAGGACTTGCCCCCTGAGGGTCAGAACCCCCCTCCCAGGAGGCCCACGTTCGGGTCCTGATCCCGGGGCCACCCCCAGGCTCTCCAGCGGGGCTCGAGCCCCGAGGGCACCTGTCCACACCTGCGTCCACCACATGCTCCATGGTGGGGAAGCGCTTGAGCACGCGGGTGCTCACCGAGCGCAGCACCAGCACGGACGCCAGGTTGGCATAGCGAATGAGGGTGCGGCGCAGCAGGCGGCCACGCTGGTCTACACCGTGCACGCTGGCCGAGATGACGCACATCAGCTGGTCTGGCAGTGGGATGCTTGTATACTGGGCCCACCAGCGGTTCACCACCAGGGTCACGTAGAAACCTGATCACCCGCCGTGGAAGGGGAGATGGAAGGCCTGCCCCTGTAGGAGTCAGCACGCCCTGTCCCCCAGCCAGAGAACCAAGGCAGGGAGAAGGATGCATTTGGCCCCAGTGCCCTGCCTCGCTGTCAGGGGGAGGGTCTCTTCCTAAACCATCTTCCTTGCTAAGCTGGCCTGGAGGATGGAGGAATGCAAACCTCCTCCGGCAGAGAAGTGGTCAAGTAATGGTTAGCTCTGAGCCCTGCTTCCCACAAGGTGGGAAGGGAGTGTCACCTCTCTCCAGCTCCTCTCCAGTACCCAGAGTGGGGTTTTGAGGCCAGCAGGTGTCTTGTCCCTTTGTGGAGTGAGGGTCTAGCAAGTGATAGGCAAGGTCCAGCCCTCTGGAAATCCAGGATGTAACTCGCATGCCTGCTGAGCCTACTTTGGTTGATCTCTAGGCTGTGCTGCTGGGGTAATTCTGCGCCTCAGACCTATCAGCTCAACCCAAAAGTCAGAGAAGACGGTAAGAAGGATGCCAGGAGAACAGGAGGGAGCCTTACCCAGTACGAAGGATAAGGGGATGAGATCTGCAGAACGATTGCAGTATCGGGCCACCTGAGCATACACGTGCCTCTGCTCCTGGGTCAGCAGCAGCCTGGGGAAGGTCAGTCATGAGCCTGGGTGAGAGGGAAGCGGACAGCCTAGGCTCCCCCAGGCCAGCCCTGGGACCTCACCCTCACCGGTAGGTGATGCTGAGCAGAGCATACAGGGCCGTGAAGAGGAGGAACTCTTTGTAGAGGAGCTTGTAGATGCTTCCCCTCCACCTGAGAAGCAAGCCAGAGAAGCCTCCGAAGCGAGCCTCTGCTACTTTGAGGGTATATGAAACCGTCATGGTGCTGGGGGCCTGGGAAGGAGGTCACACGAATTGCCCCCAGAGCTGTCCCTCTTTCCTGCAAACCTTCTCCTTAGCTTGCCTTCTTATCACCAAGCAACCTCCCTTCAACTCTGGTCACACACAAACCCTGTGTTAGTAGACAGGGAGGAAGAAGCTTCAGAGCACATGAAGCACACCCCCATCCCCTCCAGAACTCAGTGGTACAGGGGTCGAGCCAGGATGGGATGGGCCTGGGGAAGCTGAGATCTATAACCTCTCGTGCAAGAGGCTTCTCCAAGATCCGGTTCCACTTGCAGGGCCAGAAGTAACCAGATCATGAACTTCTGAGGACAGAAGATCCAACTCTAGCCCAAACCCACAACTACCCCCTGGGGTCTTGCTCACAGCTGGTCTCCCAAGGCCCAGGGTACTGACACCTCCCACTCCACACCTGCCTACCTGCTCTGGGCAGCAGCCCGTGTTGAGGAAGGAGAACTGGGCTAGCCCACACACCACACGCACTTAAATATCTGCTGGGCCCATAAAGCTTAGCTGGATGGAGGTTATCATTGATGGATGGAGGCTATCAGCCAGCTCAGCTTCCCCTGGCCCTGGGAACTAGATGTATCTCCCTACCCCTGCGGGGCTGGGCTGGCCTTTGGGTGGCAAAAGTGCTATCTGCACTGACCCTACCGCTCGCACCAATGATACCCTGTCCTTGAAACCAGGATGACAGGGATTACTGTCCCACGCTCCAGGTGAGAAGACAGACGCATGATGATAAATTGTTATAATCATAACAGCTACTGATCACAGAGCACTGACTGACAGGCACCGTGCCAAAGGCACTAGTATATCAGCATCTCTTGGAGTCCTCCTCTCAACTCGGTGGGACAGGGATCAGCCCCGTTTACAGATGAGGCTCCAAGAGGTAAATGATTTGTTCAAGGTCAGACAGCTGAGACACACTGGAGGAGGTAGGATTCAACGCCAGAGGTGATGGACTTGGTTGGGCTTGAAAATAAAATGGCCAGTTATTTTACCAGTAAAATAGGTTTAATCAAAAATAGAGGAATGACAATTCAGGATACGCAAGCTACAGCAAGCCATAGGCAAGTCCAGGAACAAAGGACAGGAATGTTATTATATAGAGAAAAAGGAGGAAGTTGAGAGGGGCTATTTGAGCAAAAGTCCACTGGAAGTTGGGGATGTTTTCTTATTGGCTGAGTTGTGGCAACGTCTCATTGACTGGACTTTTCTCTACAAAGAAAAAGTCTTTCTCCCTCTTGCAGGGGTGGTAAAGTAGGTCCTTTCCAGTTGGAAAATGCAAGGTATGCGTCTTCCTGTTGGGGTCTGCAATTGATGCATTGATAGGTAGGGTGTGAGAACTCCCCTCATTCTGGCCTTCAAACTCTATTTTTTTAAAAAAAGATTTTCTTTATTTATTAATGAGAGACACACACAGAGAGGCAGAGACACAGGCAGAGGGAGAAGCAGACCCCATGCAGGGAACCCGATGTGGGACTCGATCCCAGGACTCCAGGATCATGCCCTGGGCTAAAGGCAGGCACTAAACCGGTGAGCCACCCAAGCGTGCCTCCAAACTCTATTTTTTTTTTCAGATTTTTTTTATTCATGAGACACACAGAGGAGGGGTGGGCAGAAACAGAACCAGGCTCCATACAGGGAACCCAACATAGGACTCGATCCTGGGTCTCCAGGATCACGCCCTGGCCCGAAGACGGCACTAAACCACTGAGCCACCTGGGCTGCCTCCAAACTCTATTTTAAATGAGGTTTCCTTTATTCAGTTTTACAACTCCAAAGGCTGGAAGGGACCCAGTGGGCAGAAACAAGGGCTTGAGCCCGGGGACCAGGGGCCTGTGCACTGGCCACACTACCAGGCTTCTGGTACAGGCTCTGAGGAGCTTGTCTTGACCACTCCCCACCCCTGTCAGCACAGGGCTGACAGGGCCACGGGTCTGGGACTCAAGCCTAGGGATGCAGCACTCCCGCAGCCCTGTGTCCAGCATCTTGACTCCTTTAATCTTTTTTTTTTTTTTTAATTTTTATTTATTTATGATAGTCACACAGAGAGAGAGTGAGAGGCAGAGACACAGGCAGAGGGAGAAGCAGGCTCCATGCACCGGGAGCCCGACGTGGGATTCGATCCTGGGTCTCCAGGATCGCGCCCCGGGCTAAAGGCAGGCGCCAAACCGCTGCGCCACCCAGGGATCCCCAGCATCTTGACTCCTAAGGGTATTTAGCATCCTGGGTGGCCATTTCTACTCCTAGGCCTCAATTTCTTCCTGTGTCAAACAGAGGAAATAATATTTGAGGCACCAGCTCAATTAGCCACCCAGTGCTGAGATCATCCACAAAAACCCAGGAGGGCTGGTCCCACTTCTGACCTGTCTTGGGAAGCTCCTTCCCCTGCACTGTGAGCTCATTCTCACCCATAGGTGTTTCCTAGAGAGGAAGCAGGGAGAGGGGGTTAGGAGCACAAGCTTGGGAGTCAGACAAGCCTGGGTTTCAATTCTAGCTCTCTGGAGCCTTACACAAGTTACCTCATCTCTCTGAACCTCAGTTTCCTCCTCTACAAAACAAGATCAATAGCACCTTTCACCAGAGCAATTGGGGTTATTCAGTGAAACAAGGTCCAGAGCCTTGAGCATGACTAAGTGGCTGCCATTTAGCTGCCATTACCATGAAGAGCCAAGTCTGTTCCCCTTAGTTTCCACCTCCTGGTCCTCTGTTGTGTCTCAGAATCACACTGCGTCTGTGTGTGTGTGGGTGGGTGGGTGTGTGTCCCATAGGTCTGGGAGACCCAGGACCTCTCTCCTAGGGAGGGTGAGATACTAGCTCTGAGGCCCCAGCCATCATGCCCATGCAGCCCTTCCCAAGCTCTGATCTGTGGCTTTTCTAGAGGATTCTGGGTTGCATACCACTTAAAGAGTATCTGGGGACCAGGCCTAGGCCTCGAGGAGCTCACACCCTGAGATCCTGGGAACTTTCTTGAGGAACAACCCAGATAACCCAGGCTGCTGCATTTCCGTCACTGCCCCCCCATCTGCTTCTGTGGCTCTCACCTTCCTGCCTGTTACCAACAGTCTGAAGCACTGGGCTGTGAGTTTCCCACAGAGCCATGGGTAAAGGTGCAGGACCTGAAGCCTCACTCCAGGAAGGGGAGTCCCCAGTCCCCACCCAACCCTTCCCTCCTGAGTCATCTTATCTCCCTTCCCAGCACCTGACAGGTCACTGTGGTTTATGGTCCAGGAGAGGGAACCACTCCAGCTGTAAATCATTTACTCCACCCTTCTTTACGGTCTTCTACTTCTTGCCTCCTGCTCCCTTCTGGTCCTGACGGCCCATGCCCTCTCCCCTCCTCACAGCCCAGAGTTGGATATATGACTTGACAGTTTACGGCATGGAGTCTGAAGCCAGACTGCCCAGATTTCCAAATCTGAACTCTACTGTGAACTACCTTTGTGACCTTGGGCAAGCTGTTTAACATTTCTTTCTTTTTAAAATTAATTAATTAATTAATTAATTATCCATGAGAGACACAAAGAGAGGCAGAGACAGAGGCAGAGGGAGAAGCTGGCTCCCTCTGTAGGGAGCCAGATGTGAGACTCAGTCCCAGGACCCCGGGATCACGCCCTGAGCCAAAGGCTGATGCTCAACTGCTGAGCCACCCAGGTGCCCTGTTTAACATTCTGTGTTTAATTTCCCCATGGGGAATAGGGAGGATAATACCTTTCTCATAGAGTTAATAATGTGCATATTAAATGGGTTAATATTTATAAAGTGCTCAGAATAGCACATGGTGAGTGTGAAACGCTACTGTAGCTATTTGCATCTCTCTGGTTTGGCTTTAGTACTTCTTTCTCTGCACCCATCAAAGATACCTGAGGTCTTATTGCTGATTCCAGTGGCCCCCTCCCAAGTCCTACCCTTACTTGGCAGCTCTTTTTTTTTTAATTTTTATTTATTTATGATAGTCACACACACAGAGAGAGAGAGGGGCAGAGACACAGGCAGAGGGAGAAGCAGGCTCCATGCACCCGGAGCCCGACGTGGGATTCGATCCCGAGTCTCCAGGATTGCGCCCTGGGCCAAAGGCAGGTACCAAACCGGTGCACCACCCAGGGATCCCTTTTTTTTTATTATTTCAAGTAGGCTCCACATCTAATGTGGGGCTCAAACTCACAACCCTGAGATTAAGAGTCAGATGCTCTACCAATTGAGCCAGTCAGGCGCCTCTTGGTAGTTCTCATTCTAGAAAGAATCCCTTGGCCTCTGTGACCTGACATTGTCAAGAGATTCTGATTCTGAGGGGTGCCTGGGTGGTGCAATGGGTTAAGATCTGACTTTTTTTTAATTTGTTTGTTTATTTGTTTGCTTATTTATTTATTTATTAAGGGGAGGGGCAGAGGGAGAGGGAAAGAGAGAGAGAATCTCCAGCAGAATCCCCACTGAGCATGGAGCCCAACATGGGGCTCAATCACCCAACACTGAGATTCTGAACTGAACCAAAATCAAGAGTTGGTTGCTGGGGATCCCTGGGTGGCTCAGCGGTTTAGCACCTGCCTTTGGCCCAGGGCGTGGTCCTGGGTCCTGGGATCAAGTCCCACATCGGACTTCTTGCTTGGAGCCTGCTTCTCCCTCTGCCTGTGTCCCTGCTTCTCTCTCTCTCTCTCTCTGTCTCATGAATAAATGAATAAGATCTTAAAAAAAACAAAAGAGTTGGTTGTTAAACCCACTGAGCCACCTAGGCACTCCACATCAGGCTGTTTTCAGCCCATATTCTGCTTGAGATTCTCTCCTTCTCCTTCTGCCGCCTCCCTCTGCTTATGCTGTCTCTCTCCCTCCCTCTCTCTCAAAAAGAGAAAGAAAAAAGAAAGAAAGAGAGAGAGAGAGAGAGAGAAGAGAAAGAAAGAAAGAAAGAAAGAAAGAAAGAAAGAAAGAAAGAAAGAAGAAAGTCTTAATAAAAAGAGGGAGATTCTGACTCTGAGCTG